CTTGTAATTTAGAATGTAACTCACAAGTTAGTTGTTATACTCGTTTTTTAAAACAGAGATAAACCTATTGCTACATTTCACATATAGCGATATCAAAATTCTATTAATTCAATTTTCCAGATTGAGCAGATCAGAAAAGGTACGAAGACACTGGCTTCGCTCCCTAAATTTGAAATTCCAAAACCTCCAACATTACCCAAATTCAAATTTGACTGTAACCAGCCACAGTTGTCAAATCGTTCTGATAAGTCTTCACCTTTATCTTCGATAGGGGTTATTGGTCAAGGCACTCGTACTCCAACTTCCTCTTCATCAATTGGTGGTATGTATTCTGTGCATAATGGTTTAACGTAATATAAATACAATACAAATTTTTGCCATATTGTATTTAAAAGTATTTTGTATTTATACTTATATACATACTGTTTATTTCTTTTTTATTGCATTTTTCTTCATTATAGTTATCCGGAGCGCAAATCAAGGAAGTAAGCATATAGATTACTCTTCTGCTATATCAACTGATCTGACTACGAATACACCATGGAACCTTGATAATCCGAGGTTTTTTGGTCCCTTGGTGCCCAATGATTTTGCAACTCCAATTCAATCTATAGCGAGTACACTGGGTTCAGCACATACTCTTGATCAGGATTCACCTTCAGGGCAGGTATCATTTAAAAAATTTGTTTTTTTTATCCTGTTCTATCATATTTTTGTTTGTTCAGCTATTTGGGGAAAGTAAAACATGTGGTCAAATGTAAAAAAAATTCCAGCTTTAAATTGAATTATGAAATCCTTGATTTTAGTGTAACAATGCATTTCGTAATACTTTACCATCACAATTATGGTCTGGAAGCAGCTGGAACACAGATGGTATGTTTTTATCATTAAAATTGTTTTTTTAATATTGTACGAAACATTATAATCAGTTTTGTTGTAATCTCATCATCAGTAATAGTTGCCAAACAAATTTCTGAGGTTTCTAGGACCATTTATCTTATTTAAATAATTTAAATAATTTTTTGCTTAAGCTCGTGCTCAGCCTGCTGCTCCTTCAGTTCCAAGTGGTTCCGGACGTTTTGGACAAGGATTGGATGTAGGATTCTCGAACCAATTACTGTATGACCAATGGGAATCAGGTCCAGTCACAAATCAATCTAATCAGGTATTTTTTTAACGTTCAACTTTCAATCAACGAATATTTGTCATGAACATTCGTATTTTCTGTTCATTTTCTGTTTTCATTTCTTCGCTAAAAGATTTCAAAAGATTTTTTTCATTCGAAAAAGAGTCCATCGTCTATTTTTTGGTTTATCTCTTTTGTGCAATTTAACTTTGTCTACCTTGATAAGGAAATTATTCAACCATAAAACTGAAGGTGAGAAAGAGGAATAGAACCTATGAAAACCAAAAAAAAATAAAAAATATGGCATCTTGCTAGCATTTTTTAATGCGGGTTAGATAATTGACAAATACCGAATTTAATGATATGAAAATTATTATTACAGTCCCCAATGAACGCTGATTTCGAAAAAATAATTGACAGTTGGTACGAGAAGGCTCGACAATACTTTGGTTCACATCCGTAAGTTTTCTTTGATTTTTTAGTGTTAATTTTGTGCAGATTTATTTTAAGATTTCTTATCTCTTTAATTCTGCGATTTTAGTTCCATTACACGTGCAAATGTTAGAGAAGGATTTGTATCTTATAACCAAATACGAGATATGAATTTATCGTTTAATGAGAATCTTTTTTTCAGTCATCTCCAAAATAACTACATTAAGGTTTATTTCATTTATTTATTATTAGTAAATCATTTGTTAGTAAATAACTTTTTTTTCCAAATGATTTAACAAGTTTCAGTTTCCTCTGCACATAATCATTGTTTTTGGTTTTGATTGTTTAATTGGTTTTAAAATTTCAAGCGATCCACGGAATATGTCTATATTAAAAACATTATCATACTAAGAGTAAAGAGTAAAATTTGATTTTATAGCCATATGGCCAAGGTATATCACCTGCGATACTTCCTCCGAACGCTGCCACTCCAGAAATTTATCAGGCCCAACGGTTTTCCCAATTTGCACCAGGTGTTGGTCCAACTTTCGATATCTACCAAAGATACCGCCAGAATCAACCTATCCCACCACCTCCACCTGTGCAGAACGTCAAACGAGATGCTTATCCATCGCCAATCCACCCGCATCTCCTTTTGCAGTCTCAAGGTTTTAGATTTTATGTTAACTTTAGTAGCATATTGCGAAAGCCTATATAGGAAATTTAACAGTGTTTAATCCATAGTGCTGCTCTTTTTTTTATATTTATGTTTTACAGGTGAAGGTCAGATGAATTAATGGAATCGATATCTAATCAAATTTTTGTTGATTTGCTTGTAGAAATTATCGGTTTTTAACATTATCTATCAGTGAATAGTGATATATTCCTTTTTTCTCCAGCATATTGCTTATATTGTCGGATTTACTGAATTATAACTTCATTTCTCTTCATTTTATCGATTTTTTGACATGTTTGCTGTTTGGACCTTATTAATTTAAATTCTGTTTTCAAGGAAAATTTTTTCATTTTCATTGTTTGCCGAAAATTTTCCCGGGATAAATATTGGATTTAATAGAAACCATTTCTATCAATTGTTAGGTAAATGTGTTTTACATTTTGTTATTTTCGTTTGCTTGCAAAGAAATTTTGTTTTGTGAATGAAATCGCCATAATCTTATGTTCTTTGGTAGAATTTTCCATAATATCTGCTTCTCTATTAATCATGGTCAGTTAATGAAAAGCTGTAGCAGTTCGGATTGGATATCGGATTTTTTGCCGTTTTTTATGCGCTGGATATGATGATACATTCTAATATTAATGGCTAATCAATTCGTGATTTTTTTTGTTTTTATAAGCGTTAATTTCAGATGTGTAATTCATTAATTGCTCCTTCTATCGTTTTTTTTGAATCATGCTGCTTGCTGTTCCAGGCTATTTCGGATTATTTTTTGCTGCAGCTGTAAAATATTTTCATAGATCGTGGAATTTTTTTGAAGCAATAAATTATTTTAGTGAAATTTCTAGAAAAAATTAAATTTATATCACTTCTTATCTTGAGGACAAGTTAGAAATTAGTGGTAATTTCTAGTTGCGCATTTCTGCTTTTTTTGAGTGGAATTTAATAGCTGAACAACTTGTGGGTGTGAATAGCGTAATGTTTTTTGTGTGATTTTTCAAATTTTTGCCCGTATTTTTGAGGTTTTTCAAATTGTGATGATAGTTCGTGAAAAAATTCTTCATTCCGATTTGATATGTTATAAAGTATGCGAGATGTATGTGGGAGATGAAATCATAAAACGGCATCTAAAAATAATTAATTTATTCTTCTATGATTTGTTCATTGACTTACAACTATTCATCAAGTCTTTCGGATTAAAGTGTCATTCTTTATTGGTGACATTCACTGTCTTGGATTCTTTTTTTAAAGAATATGAATCTGTATTTTTATAGATAATAAAAAAAATCGATGCAAGTCGGTGGGTTTTTTTGATTTTTAATTATTTTTAATTATTTTTGATTATTCTGTTTAAGCATAAAGTGGAAATAAACTGGCAGGACAATATTGCTAAATGATCCGGCATTCCTTGGTCCATTAGGTCATTATTCATTACTGTGTTCGTTATGCTTTTATTTTAAAGATCTGAAAACTTGGCGTTCTGTTAATGGAGCAGATAGGCGCGGCTGGGTGTGGTACATGTTTTAGTGTTTTTAAGTAATAAATGAGTGTGGCGCGTGAATGTGGTCTACAACAAGCAAAATGTAATTCATCAGTTCGATCCACACAAACCTGGCTAATATGGTACACAAACATTTTTAAAATTCTGGATTTTCCTCAATTTTTGACGAACTGAGATAGTATATCCAATAAACAGCGTTAAAAAGCGCAAATGCCTATAAATAATGTAAGTGGTAAGGATATAATAAAATCGATTAATTGTGGATTAAAGTTTAAATCATTGGCATTTTTTATAATTAGTAAATTCAACTTACAGAAGGGAAAGCAATGCTGGAGATTCGGTCTGCATTGCATCCAAACTGGAACGATTTAGTTAAGCGGTTCGTTTGAGGAAGGAAAGGCTTACTTGGCCTCTGCTTTTTACAAGTTTCTACTCTGAAATTGATTATGGGTATTCGTTGTTTAGAATATTTTTCTGCCCTTTCCTAAAGGTCATATGGCTGAATATATTCGATATTGTACAATTATTGTTTCAAATATCATACATTTCCCTCGTGCCTCTTGCAATTGTGAACTGTTGACCTTTCCCTAGAATTGCAGAATTTGTTAGAATCTATTTATTAAGCCTTTGGAGCGGAGCATATCTAACCAGAAATGGCAATGGCTTTCTTGTTCATTTTCTTCTCTTGTTACTATTTGTCCACAGTGTCAACCATTATTTTCTTAAAGAGTCATCAATATTACTGGTTAAACTCGCTCCACTGACTTGTCGCATTGGAAAATATGCCAGAATTCCTTGGCGATAGAAATATAGGTGAGTCGCCAGCATTACCCGGGTTTTTGTACAGGTTTACTCCCGCGAGAAGTCAAACCGCGGCATTGGTGCTCCCAATTGAACAACAACCCACTGAACCATTCTGTACCCAACAGTGTTGACCATATCGATTCTCAATCTCTTTTCGCCTCAAATTCCTCGGCAGTAGCTTACCCTATTCATTTTATATTGGAAATTTCATTATTTAATCAGTCAAAAAGTTTAGCTATTTTAGGTGTGGAATTGGTAAATTATTATACACAATCTTTCTCAAAAGGATTAATGAATTCAGAATGCAGCAAATATTTTGTTACCTTGGTACTTTTAAATAGGAAGGATCATCTAGTAAGATCCCATCACTTATTAACGATATTCTGGGTGTTCCACTAATAACGATTCCATGTCTTTGCTGTTCCTCTTCTATTTTGTCATAAAATGCAACAATAGCCAGTTCAACTAATGATAAAAAGATAAATCTATAAAATAAATCATTCCATTTTAAATTGTTTGATAATAAATTTAGGTCTTGGGATTTAAAATCTGTGTATGGTTTTGCATTGGCTTATGCAAATATAGTTAAGAGTTGTGGATTTATATTAAATATTACTGAAGAAATTATTATTTTCATTTATTTAGAACAAGCTTGGCTAATCAGAACAATATACATACACTGCGCAACCAAACATCCATACATCGATCGCTTTAATATAGCTTGCCTGAAAAATATTCTCGGGTGTTCATTGATAACTCAGATAATTTTTAGGTGGCGAATTAACGGCACTATTAAGCTTAGGGCGAAAATATAAGCTGCTTTGTTCGTCTTGGTCATCTCAGCAATATTTATGATGAAATTGAACGTTGCGTTAAGTGTTTTAATTTAATTGTCGTTTATTACGTATTTTATATAAAATATTGCAAAAGGGTCGATAAACAAACCTTTGGCAATGAGCGTGCAATACTTCCAAACTGAAAGTATTTATGTTTAATTAAATATTTGTATATTTATTAGTGATAACCACTTAATGAATCTTATTTACGTTGGTAGCGCTCAGTTAAAAGGAGGATTGGAACGAATAACGTGTTAATGATTAAATTGTCCAAAATAATAATTGTCGCCGATTCAAGGTGTTAATAGCAAATTTTTCTTGTCGATTTTAGCGATTTTATATTGTGTCTGTTAAATATGGAGAAATTATTGCAAAAATGGACAATAAATTTTCTTTGCATTACTAATAAAATTAAATAAAATGCCATTAATTAGGGGAGAACGCGGAGAACTGAAATTTACTTGGAATGTAAGAGCCATAAGTGAACTGACACCGAGTGTTATCCTGGCTGGTAAAGCTTTCGTATCTATCCAAAAAATGATCCAAGAAATAAGGACGCTGATGTAAGTTGGCATGTACATCTAAATTATAAATATAATTTCGCTACCAGCCGAAAGTAAATTTATAAAATAGTTTTTCGATAGAATCGACAGTTTTTAATCCTAAATATATTGATTATATTGATAAATATAATCGTATTTTAATTATATTTTAATTATATATGCGCAAATATGGAATAAGGGATGAAAGTTGGTCGAGTGGCATATTCCTCAGTTTTTGTGCTTTGAAGAGAAATTATAAACGAATACAAATGTTGAAGAGGAGTGGTCACCTGAATTTCTTTTCCTAACTGAAGAGTTCTGGCGTCATTAATGAATGAAGCCAGCCAAATAAGAATATGTTGATATGCAGAATAAGAAAATATGGATTATGGATTTAAATTTTGAAAAAAATCGTATAAGACCAATATATTTAAAAATATAAATATAAAATAAAAAATGCTAGAAAATTCTGTTAATCATTAAAAATATAAAAACTATAAGTATAAATATTGCTTTAACCACAGAGAAGCATGCTTTTTTAAAATATGTACTTACTTGTACTATATAAAAGCCATATTGACGTTCGAATTGGATCACAACGTTAAGACGACTCCACATACCAGCTGTATACATCTGAAAGGTACAAATCAAATCAACTTTTTCCTTTAAGCGATTTTCATTGAATATGAAGAAGAATTTATAAATATTTTCATCGGGAATCTAATACCTTAGATGTAAAAAGTATGAGTTTTTAAATCTCTCAATGGTTTTTTGTTTGTTTGTTTAGTCAACGAATGGTTCTGTACTGGTTTCTTGTTGGAAATTTGCCATCGGTTTTTAACTGGTCTTTTTATTATATCTTGAATTACATCTTGATAATATAAGTTTTACTTTTTATTACATTTATCAAAAAGAAAATTTTATCGAAATATTCAAATGGCAAAAAAACCTTTTGTGCTTTCCCAAAAGTTATATTTGACATTTTGAAATCTGGAAGATTGAAATTATCCTTAACCATACTTACAGGTGACCACCGTAACCAATCTAATGTGGCTTCAGCAGTGTTATACGAATAACTCTCGAGGATAATATGACATTTAATTGTATCCAAAGGAAAATTTTTTGCATTCATGTCACAAGGTGCTAAAATGTGTTATAAATAAAATTACTCTATTCGATTGCAGAGATTATTAATTATTTTACAAATTAATTTAATAAATTGAAAATGACATTTTAAATCCATTTAAAAAAGTAACTATGAAATACAAACTGGTAAATATGAAACAAACTGGTTTTTTAGTGGAATGGAAAACTAACACAAAAAATATCATTGAAATTTTCAATCATTAGTAGAAATATAGAAATTTTACAATGGTATTCCTTCCTTTCTTCCTACTAAGAGATATAAGTGATTAGCTTTCATCATTTCTGCTTAGGTTTGCTCCTCAGATCATTAATAAGATAAGATAATTTTGTCAGAAAATCATTGGGGCAAATGAGTTCTTAGTACTACCAAATTTTTTTAAACACTAGTTTTTTTTAAGGGGCCTCAGTATTACTGGCTTCGTTCTGCTGGCTTGTTGCACTGGACAAATATCCCAAGGAGTCCCTTGGCAATAGAAATAAAGGTAAGTCGCCAGCACCGCCAGGACAGGTTTGCTAGAAGTACAACTGCAGCATTGCCGCTCAGAATTGAGCGACAACCCACGGAGCCATTCTATTCCCGATTTTTTTTAAACGAGTCCTCAGTACTGTCCGAATTTTTAAACACTGGTTTCGAAGAGCCAAACCACTGCGACTAAAATAATATTTAACAATTCAAATTGAAATAAATTTCTTTAAGCAATTCTTCCTCCGAGGAGAGAATCTAAATATTCTTTTCAAGTAGGATGAAATTGTTACCTTTAACTCTTATTCTATAATTCAGCCATACGGTACCATTAGGAAATATCTGCAAATAATCATAAAAATAATAATAAAGAAATACCAGTTTGTTGCTAAAATTATCCAGCAAAAATCAAAGAAAATTCATAAATACCAGTTTGTTGCTAAAATTCTAAAAGTAAGAAATAATTTTTTATGAATTTTCCAGAACAAAAAATTGTTTGTTTATAAACTTTGTTTACAAAAACAAAAAATTTGCTTGCAAATTTTTTTATAAACTATAATAGATAGAACTATGTACAATATTACCATTAATTGTTTAATTATTCTTTTTGCTTACCATAAGGAGAATGTTTGGTTTTGGCGAGTTGTGTACCTCTGTGTATTTTGAATTAACGATGCATACATTGGGCGACCATAATCTAGGCTCTATATCATGATCTAATGATAAATTTTTCCTGCATGGATCGATATAATCAAAACGCAATCTAGTAAAAGGTAATTAAATAATGATTTCCTCCTTTTCTTCGTAATTTTACATTATGCTAATAAATTATCATAAAATATTGCAAACATTAAGCGGTTTGAATTGTCCAAAAAGCCCACATGATATTTTGGATCAATGGTGAGCAATGGGTTCCCGAAAAGTTTTTGCAATCCGTATGACTTTTGCAACAAAATACTTAGCTTATCTGTAATTATTAAGCCTTACTGGAGGTGAATTCATATAACAGTTGTTTTAGCTCGATTTGGATTTGCTTTTAATATATTTCTATTAAGAGAAAGTAAAATTTTTTTTATCATTTTTATAAATTTTTATTTTTTATTTATTTTAATTTTTTTTCTTGAAATCCTCATAAAAATTTTACCGAAAATATCATTTTGTCGTTCGCTAGACTTTGTGCCAATCGGTCTTAGATTATAAAGAACGGAACTGTGAAAAAAATATGGAAATCAAAAGAAATTTAAATGAAAAAATGTGGAATTGAGATTTTTTCTTAATGCTAGAAGATTTAAAATGATGTAGAATGTAGAATTTTAAAAATAGATTTTATTTGAACATTTAAAGCGTTTTAAAGAAAACACAAGCCATTCAAATTGAATAAAATTATGCTAATCTTCTAAATCAAATTAAACCTTCTATCCATCCAAATGGCACTAACGAAAAAATCAGTGATAAAAGTTCCGGTTACAGCGGATATTTCGGACACATCTTGAATCGTTATTTCTACTAACACTTTGACAGGTGATGGATCAGGCAGAGCATTTCTATATAAGAAAAAAAGTAGCAAATTTGAAGCAGTCTGTCTTAAATCAATCACATCATTTCCAATAGTCACAAAATCGGATAAAAATTTTTTATAGGTGGAAGGAAAATAGTTAACGTTCACCATTTCTAGCTAATCACGTTCCAGTGATTGTTAATAGGATTTGAAATTCCTGCTGAAATGTTATTTGGAGATAGAAGGGCTGCATAACCCAGGTAGAACCCCACAAGCTCCTCGATTTCTCAATAATAGTCTTCCTGCCAGAAGTTTGAAATTTAAGACGGCATTCTAAGTAAAAACCATTCAGTTATCTTGCTCTGATTTAGTAAATGACCTTCGACTAGGTAATTATAGGTTAAATATGCAATATTTATATTTATTACTTATAATGTTGCCCTCAAAAAAATATTTAATATTTGAATTTAAGAAAAATTAGCAATAACCGCGAATAATTCTTCAAGATAATTTGTGCCAAGTCTTGCGCTTTCGTTTCGCCAGAGAAGCAAACTTTTGGATTATATGACATCGATAGTAATCTTATTATAACTGACTGTAAATTAAGAGAATAATAATAAAAAACTGCTATTCTTAACAAACAAAGTTTTTGAAAGCGTTCCCATTCCTTAAGATTAATAAGATTATAATAAGATTATTATTGAATCACTGACAAGTCGTGCAATAAAATTAACACAAAACATTTGAGTATGGAACGATACTGCGTGAAATACCGTAACCCCAACTAAACAATTAAGAGAATTGTCCGAAGTATTAACATCTTATAAGATCTTAATTAATAAGGCCTACCTGGAAACTATAAAGCATTTAGTACGTAGAAGGGATGAAAAAATCGCCGAAAGTGAAGAGAAGGCGTTAACAGATAAGAACTTCGAGCGCGAATCCTTTATTTCTTTTCTTTATTCTGTATATTATCTATTTTTCCTATTCTTTTTTAAAAACGTGACCAATTCTGGCTTCGCTGAGCTGTCGTATCAGGCAAATCTTATTAAAAGCCATTTAGCAAGTATAATAGAAGGTTGGCCGAAGTACCATGCATTTTTACTCTCACCGAGACACAGCTATTTTATTTTATCCATATATTCATTTAAAGCTTGTTCTCAAAACAGAACATTTCTTTTATGCTGCGAAAAAGGATACAACTGAGTACTGAGTAGAATAGTGGTTTAGCTTGGCGTATTGAACGGTAAGTTTCGGCTCTTTTGACAGGAGTAAACTCGTTATTAAAAAATTTGGCTTGACTACTCATATTCTCCGAAAGACATTTTGGCCGCACAGTTAGTAGAGATTAGTGCAGTTAGCGTAGCTAGAAATGGTGAATGCCACTAACTTTGCTTTTATCTAGTTAAAATCAGAAAGAAAAATCGAAAAAATCCTCATGGCAAAGGAAAAAATATTAAATATTTAAAAAATAAATATCAAAAATATAAAAATAAATAAATAAAAATAAATAATACTATTTTCTTATCTTAAAAAGAGTATTAAAGGGTTAGAAGAATGATGATTAAGTATCATAGATTGAGCTGAAAATTGAAACGGCCAATGTTAATATGGCATTTCAGAAATTTAAATTGTATAAATGCCATATGAAAAGTTACGAAAGGTGTGGGATTTAGTGGAATGGCAGGTTGTTTCATTCATCGGAATTTTTTTGGAATTTTTACAACAATTTTCAGTGACATTTAATACCTAATCGAGCAATCCTAATCAGCAGTGGTGATCTTAGAAAAAAAAGCTAGGTTATAAATTATAAATTATAACGATGAAAAATGGACATTGAAGAGAATCTTATGATTATTATTCTTTGTTCAAATTATGTGATGCTGACGATTCACCTGTACTTCTATCGCTAACGGATTCCCTGATATATTTGTTTAATGCGAGAAGCCAGCCAGCGGAGCTACTCTAAGAAGTAATGGTGAAGGCTCTTAAAAAAAAAAATTTAAATATAATGGTTGATACAGAAGCCTATCTCCAACACTGTTGTTATCTCTCACAGTTTGTTCATCAGAAGTGCTAACTTTGAAGCAAATTGCCCGATGAAGTTTTTTCTCGGTCTTCAATGAAAATTTAAAAATATTCACATCATTTAAACTTTAAACTTAAAACTTCAATCCTCCAGGACTGATATGATTATTTTATTATATATTATTATATTTATTATATATTATTTTTATTCCGCGTTTTGTTTGATTTCCTGTTGTACCTCTCCCTTACCTTAGATATCTTTCTTTTATATGCTTCATAAGCTCATACAAAGCTCATACTTTTCTGCTTCGCTTTTTTTAAACAGATAAATGCAGTTTTTTACTTCTTTCTTTTTATTTTTTGCTTCCAATTTTTTTTTGCTTATTAATATCAAGCTCATTATTTAAATCTTTTTTAAATTTTTCAGATAAACAAAAAATATAAGTAATAATAATACTGAAAACGTTCGTCATGAATATAGAAAAGAATAGAAAAAGATAAGAGCTTGTACACGGACTAATATGCATATAAACAAATGACTTATTATATAAAAAGCCTTGGCCTATTAGCCTATGACATAAGCCCATTCGCTACCAAGAGACAGGACCATAGTTACTGTTTATCTAAGAAAACGAGAGAATTTTAAAAAAATATAATGGGGTGTGTAGAAGTGGACAAAAAAGCTGACTGAACGACTGACAAACGAACTGAAAACGTGTAGTGCAAGGAATTTCGAAGTCTTTTGCTATGGCGGAGCCTCGCACAACTTAGAAGGAAGATAAACGGACTAATATGCAAATTATTATCTAAGTAATAGTATAGTAATAAAGTATAGTATAGTATAGTAAAAGTAATAATAGATTCATTTAGTTCTCTCATACGAATATTCGCCTTTTTAATTTAAGAAATTTTATTGACATCACCTTAAAAAACGAAAACAAATTTTGAAAATATTTGGAAGGTCGTAATTCACAAATTCAATTAAAATAATTTGCAAACTCTCATTTTATGAATTAAAAAAAGTTCAAAATCGTATGCGAACAGCAATCATTTTCTGGATATTTCAGCCTTTTTTGCTCAAATCAAATAATTCAGAGAGCAATGGATCAACTTCATTGATATTTAGCTTATGATAAACTCGAAGAAAACTCTCATTTAAGTGATGCAACTCGACGAGTTTTTGCAATAGGCCATTATAAGCTTGTTCTGCTTCAAAAGATGGGCACAAAAGTGCAAGATACCTGCAAAAATATTTTATTTATATTCCATACATTTTTTATCCGTTTTAAGATTAATATAGCTTCTAGGGATTAAATTTTTTCTCACGATGAGAGTTTGACGATGAGAAGTGAATTAATCAATTCACATTTGATGAAATTTGGCAATTTGATAAGGTGCGGCATAATTTAATTTCGTGCATTTTTAACTTATCTTTAATATGATAAAATGGAATTCTTATTTCTTACTGATGATGTGCCAATTGAAGCATCGAATATTTTTCTCGATCTAATTTTCATTCGCATTGGCTCTTAGTGACTGAGAAGGCTGATAAGGTAACAAAATTTACTTCCTAAAAAGAGTTCTATACTGTTGTTGTTTATCGGCGATTTGATTAGCTTCATTTAGATTCTTACGGTCTGGGCAAAACAACGTTATCGCATTCAACAACAACATAACATTCTCATTTCTTCGCCACTTCTCGTCAAATGTGATAAGAAATCTGAAAATCTAAGAAAGCATGAACAAATCCATTCCAACTATTTTTTTACAGTTCACTTGATTACTCGCAGCATTTTAATGTATTATCAGAAGTATTTATGTTTGCCATTTTTAACATAATAAATCTAAGATTTCAGGTGATTCTCGAGACGAAGGAACGTTCTAATAACCAGTGCAGCCAGTCAAACGAGAAATAATGAATGAGTGTTAGTTAGGAGAATGAATCTGAAATTAAATTTTGATTTATTGACTTTTTATGTTCTTCATAATGTTGTGATTCATTTGAACGCTTTAGCACATCCAATTTAATTTCTACATCATTTACGCCCTGAAATCAATTTAGTTTGTCAAGTAGAAAGTTTGCTGTTGGCTGCATTCAAAGCCAAATACAAGAGGATTTAAAATCGGAAATTTCAGAATTGTTACGTAAACCGCGTGAGGATTCCATGCATGTTTTCTCAGATCAAATACCATAACGCCTCGTAAAATCAGTAATTCGCTACAAGAACCTGGAAAAAGTGTCGTAAGATAAATAATCAGCAGATTGTGGACATAAATAAAACTCTGTCAAATATAGAGGCTGAAAAGCTGAAATAGAAACCTGTGATGCATCATCATACTTAAAATTAGAATTACTCCGAGTGCTAGAGCCTCATCTGTATTTTATCTACAAGTGACTCTTTGGTAAAGATGTCTCGCTCTAATATTATCTAATATTAAAACCATCCAAACCAGAAATGGTGAGAGTCATTAGGAGAACATCAGAGATAGGAGCAATCTTACCAACAATCAATTCATCTTCGATGAAGATTGTTTGTAAATGTGTCGTAAATGATAGAAGAGATATTGTCTTTATAAACCTTTTATCAGAGCGATTTGGTCGTCGTTTCTGAGTTTTCGAAACAGTGATAATTCCTTAGCCATGAAAATGATTCTTCTTAATGCCAAATCGGTCATACGCACAATATCCATTAGATTGAAATCATCCTCTGCTTTTTGCTTTACTGTCAAATCTAATGGTTGTTTCAATATGTTATTGGCTGCTATTAGTTCCTTAAATTTCATATCTTTTATGATTTATATTTTAAGTTGAAACAAGGCAGAAAACGAAAAATAGAACCAACCGTTAGCAGGAAATTTTCGTAATCTGTTAACGAAGTAGCCGATAGATTATTATTCTCTGCAAAAGAATGCAATGCATTTAGAATGAATTTAGCATATCAAATTAATTTATTCGTCAATTCATTCTAATTACCTGGATTGCTTTACCTAAATTTATATGAATATTATGTGTATTTACTAATATTCTAACATTAAATAAGTTAGAGCACGAAAAGAAGTGGCAATCTTACCAACAATCAATTCATCTTCGATGAAGATTGTTTGTAAATGTGTCGTATCCAGTGCAATTCCATGGTTATTTGTTGGCCATTCTGCTTAAAAGTATTGCAAAAATTTGCATCGTTTTGAACTTCATCTTACACAATCTCTGCCATCAACTTGAATATAAATTGAAAACATGATTAAAATAAATACTAAGAAAGTTGGAAGATATTCCACTGTTAATCGACGAATCTGAGCAAGGCCATGATGAATAGCAAGGATTCGAGAGATTTGATTGTATAACGGGTGGTTTATTAGCAACTTTCCATGCTTCGGTGCTATTACTAAGATTTTCCGATAATAGCGATCTGTCGATATTAGTCGCTCCAGATCTAAAAATCTTTGTATTTGCACCGTGAATCCTTTGCGATTATGCATCGATTTGGTTTGAAATTCAGATTACTTCAAGAGGTAATCAGATATATAAAATGCATATTCCATGAATATAATGAGATCCGCACACAGAGGAAAATTTTTAAAACGAAGCTTCCTATAGGTATTAGGTATATATGGCCAATAATGTAATTCATTAATTCATATTTTCATTCACATTCTCACTTCATATTCAATTTTTTAAATCAAATGGAAATAGTAAATGCAATTCACTGAAATCTTATCATTAAACCGATGTGAATATTATAAAATTTCAAAAACCATTTCTTGGACAAATTTTGATTCAGTAAAACCATTTCAGCAAATTTTGATTTTGTATTATCAAAAACAGTATTTTGGTCTAAGTATAAAAGTACATAAAACCTAATCTGCTGCATCGCATTGTTTATTGAATCATTCCGTTCATTTCCTATGTCTAAATTAGATATGTTTTCTTCGGAAAACATTTTGGAATATAAAGCAGTAAGTTGTGTATCGGGAGGATAAAAACCACATGAACATTTGCATCGGCAATATTTCATGTTTCTAAAATAGCGAAATTCGGTTAATCATCATTTGACTAGTTATGCAGTAAAATAATCTACCTAGTAACATGCGACTTTTGAACGAGGTCTGCTAAAACATGTTTGGGTAATACAATATCGCCATCGCCCATTTCGCTCAGTACTTTATCCACATCTTCGACTTTCTCAAGTATCATCAAGTTGAGTTTTCGTTTTTTAGCGCACCGATTTTTTTCTTTATGAACCCATTCTTTCTTCATGCCGACCTATTTTTTATTCGTTTAATTTTCATTCATGATTTATGCAGAATGTGAAGGATAGCTACAATCAAAAAATGGAAATAAAATATAAGAATAAAATGGGAGATCCACTTCAAAAAGTCTTAGTTTGAAGCAATGGGGACCAGAATACAGCTACCGCTAATTGACTGATTATCTGGCAAAAGGCGCTTTTGCCTGTAAACGATGAAGACAACCAAGCCAGAAATGAAAATATACTTGGAAACATTTCTTGAGGCGACAAAATTGGCAAAAACGACGAGAAATCGCATTAATTGAGCAGTTATTAGCGAATTGACAAACGAACTCCTGAATTGAACAAATTTTCAAACTAAACCAAAGAAATTGTTGATTAAAAAGATAACAATAAAAAGCGCTAAATATCTTTGCAAGCAAAAAATATTTAAAGAAGCTTAACCTGTTTACTCGCATTTCGTCGGAAAAAGGCCTTACACGATTCGCACGTAATTACTGAAAAATTATAACCGATAGCACGATCCCCACACACCTAAAGCTATAGGTATCTCAATTATTTAAAAAAAATCGCTCTTCTAGATTAACTGTTTATTTATCCTTTAGCTGTTTAAATGTTAAGAATATTTGCAACGACTAGTGGATAAGTTTCATTTTTTGGATATATCCAAAGTAGTAATATATTACTAAACAAATAAATAAATAAAAAAAGTAGCGAATAAATTGAAAATAAATTGCATAAAAGTTTAGCAGTGGAAATATAAATCGAAATGATCGGTGCAAAAGAGCGAATACCATTCAATTAGCTCCAAGAAATGAATCAAAATAATTATTCATTAATTAAATTTAATATTTTAATATTTAGCTTTAAAATTTAAGCAAAAAACTTATTTTATTATTTTAGCAATTATTTTAGTAATTTTAAAGCTAACATTTTTTTAAGTTAATTAACATTTTTAAAGTTTTTATCTTCAATTCTCCTTTCAATAATTTAAACAATTATTTAATGATTTCAATTTTGCTTAAAAAGTTTTAGTTTTACGCCGGTTAAAATATAAATAACCGGCTTAAAGTTAGCATATATTAAATAGCTATAGTTGACTGAAATGCCTATATAAATAACCGGCTTAAAGTTAGCATATATTAAATAGCTATAGTTGACTGAAATGAAAAATTCAACTAGGTTCAACAACCAGCATGTTTTGGCAGTAATTAGTGACAAATTTGAGAAATAGAATGGTTCAGTGGATTATTGCTTACAGCATCGATGAGTCTTATACTCTAAAATTTTTCTGCACAGCGAATCTAACTAGAAATAAAGAGAGATCTTAGAAAAAAAAGTGACAGATTTAATAGAGAAATAGCTTAAACTTCAGGATTCATAAGACATTTGCAGTTAATAAATACTTAATAATTTTGTTATAATTTAAATAATTTTGTTATAAAATATGGGAAAAAATGAGATTAGTCCAAAATTTTTTAATTCAAACTTGGTATCGTAAACTTGGTATCAAAGTTCTCGAAAGGCCACAAAAGGTGGAAGGAATTCTTGGAGGCCAAGCCTAACCATTATGCGCCAACTGTTGTCCAAAAAATAGCTAATTCGCTTGTGCTTGTGAATATGCTTACAACTGCGAACCTCCGATAGAATAGGAAATAAACAGGAAATAAATAAACTCTGCCATCCAGAAGCATAATAAAAGAAGATAGTCGGAGAAGATGGCCTTTCCGCCGAATTCTTCATGTTCCATCATTCTTCATAATATACTTCCAATAAATATTCTCTGGTCTGGGATAATTATCGAGGAATTAGCCTACTAGAAATTTCCGGAAAAATTTTCGTCATATTGAATATGACAGTAGGAGTAGCAGGATACTAAGCTGGGTTCAGATGATAGAGACGGAGATGTGTTGATTAGAAATTTACGCTATGAAGGGTCCTGGAATATCATTTCAAATATCAGTTAACAAACCGTCAAAAGTTTCATCGATTTTGCAGCTCCCTTCAATTGACAGGTGATGGAATATGAGGAGGTTCCATAGAAAATCATTCGACTTGCAAAGGCATTTATATTAGCGTACACAGGCACAGGTGTGTGGGAACTGATATATTTTTTCAAAATAAGAACTGCTAGCCATCAAGGTTGCGTTCTTTTTCTACAGTATTCAATATTGTGCGATAGAATGAATAGGGGACATTGATCGTCAGCAAAGGTGTACAAATCAGCCCAAAGCATAATATCACAAACCTTAAATATGCTGATAGAATAGCCCTTTTTGACAGTTATGACGAAATATAAATAATATTAAACAATCTGCCGACATCTTCAGCGAGAATCAATATAACTCAGGATCAATATAAAAAAACGAAAGCCTTTTCGTCTTACAAGCAGGAAGCTGACAAAAAACTTATTTTTATCAATACATTAACGGTTGATAAGTGCCAGACTTTAAATATCTTAGATCCATTCTAATCCCAAACGACCAAACGAAAGACGAAATTCTAACCAGAATAACAGTAGGAATTTCTTCTTCCGATTGATGAAATCTTTGTAGAATCGCTGCGAAATTACTATAAAAACCTTTAGATAGCAACAATTCGCCCGATTTTGCTTAAGGCGCGTTTTTCCTCTCTCCACAGGAATTGATACATATTTCGATAGTGCTGATGGATAGTGTCAAAAGCAAGGAGAGCCAATCAAGACCTGGATTGATATAGTGGAGAAAGATTTTATATAAACATATAGATAGATGAAATATATGAAATTAGACGATGGAAAAAAAAATGGCTTCTGTTACCGTCAGCGACGGATCGAATAGTTTGGAAACGTCTGGAAATACCCATTGTGGTCAGCGAAGCAAGCTTAACCAGTAATGGTGAGAGGTGTTAGAAGAAGAAGAAGAAATTCAAACCCACTTTGCAAATTCTATTCATATCAGCTTTTCGTTTTCCTGATTCTTTAATTTGTTGATCAACATTTTCACTTACTGAATGTGGTGAAATCATTCAAAGAAGCTGAAAAATTGAACTGAGAAGGGCTTAAAACTTTTAGAATTTTCTACAAAACTTCATTAAAAAATTTCAAAGAAAACTTCGAAATCAGAAGAGAAATATAATTTTTAAACGATCTGTGTTCCTGTAAAGAAAGAATTATTTACAATCGATAGGACGAAAATGAAGAATAATAGCACTAATCATTGAGCTGATAAGGTTTTGATGTATGATAATCACTAAGTTTAGCTAGAATTTCTCATATTGTATTGAATTGTATGAAATATTGCATTAAATATATTGAAAATCTTTTCATTAATGAAGAAAAGAAGAGAAACTCATACATTTCATTTAGTCCGAAAGAATATGCACCATAGAAAAAGAACATGTATGCGATAAATAATGCTGTATTCCAAAATTAAAATTATGAATTAATGCTCGTCCAATACTAACTGCAAGTGAGTGCCGCATTATTTTATTCAGCAATGTGCCTCATGGCACTTTATCTGCCATTAAAAATTAAACCCAGTGGTGCTCATCTAAACTTCTATTTCATGCGATCCTCTGCTAAATGGATTTCCTTCTAACAGGCAATATGCAATAGAGCCAGCTAAACCATAAATGGTGAGTTCTTTTTTTTAGAAAAATAGTGGATATTCAAATGCAACCTAATTTCTTTCCACTAATAGCATGCGCCATTTCCGATTTTACTACTTCTGCCGATACGGAGATCAAATTCGATTTTTTTACCAGGTAATAATTTGTGAATAGAATTACAGATTGCTCCTCAATAGCACTCAGAAGTAATTAAAAGAATAGGTGTAATTTTTATATTTGAGGGGTTAATCAGGAATCGCACCTTTGTTATTATTATTTATTCCTATTATCACATTCTAAACACGTATTGAATGAAGAACAACTGCGCTTGCGAATCTTCTTCGTCTGAACACATTTCGAATTTCGCTAAGATTTAAATCTGGACACTTATTGATTTGCAATAATAAAATTTTGATTTTTATCGGCGATTTGCAGATGAATGCTAATTTCGCCGAGCATTTTCATTCATTTTACATTCTTTTAATTCTTCTTATTTTTACTCTATTGTTTTTTCCCTTAAAATTAACGTCATTTTATTTAATTTTACAATTGATTTCCTTTACAATCAGTTTGCAAATTTTAGCATTATTGACTTCAAAAGATTCGTTTAACTATAGTGTTTTCCTGAAATGGTGAATGTCCTATATGCCTCTCCAGACCGGGCTTCTCAGTCGAAATCACGTCGAGCATCTCGAGGTCGATGGGCTTCGAAGGGGAGTCTGCTGGTCGAAACCCCTACCAACTCAGACAAATGGACAAGCCAAAAGATTGCTGCATTTTTAAATTTCAATTATATTTATTAAATCTATTTTTGAATCTACTAATGAAAAAATATTTGAGTATTCTGGCATTGAGTATTCTTTGTTTTGGGACCATCTTTCGGTGAATTTAGTGTTCATCGATTATCGACCCTAGAATAAAAATGTGCAGTGAGTTTTTAAAGAAATTAATTGTAGTATCTTCTAAGAAATAATGAAAGATTAGAATTTTATTATGGCGCATTACTTGTAATCACGAAAGAAGCCGGTAAATAAACCACCGTAAATGAACAAGCGTAGTGGAAATGGACCCAGGTTCATTTTTGATTCTACTTGGTAATAGCAATTCAATCGTTAGATGAAATCCGTTAATGTTAAAAAATCGTTAACATTTGAACTACTTATAGTTAATATGTTGGATGTTACAGCGTTTCAGCAAGGCATATCCAAACTATTTTTTTTCTCGAATGAAAATCCTCTTATATTAATTTTAATTAATAAAAAAATCTTCTAAAATCTTAATCAATTTAAATTTTTAACATTTCAATAACTGTATTCAAAAGCCTCTTAAAAGTCTAATTTTTTAAAACCTCTAATTTTTTATTAATGCAAATAATATACGAAATCTTTCGAAAATATGCCAAGATGGGAAAATAGGCCGATGGGAGAAATATTTCTCTTAGGGAAGAAGAAAAAATGGGAAATCTTATGTTAATAAGCTGATTCCATTGGCTGCAAATACTCAACATTTCCAAGATGGCCGATGGGAGAAATATTTCTCCCCTCAACTCTATATATTGACTATAAGTAGCATAAGCCATTCTTTTTTCTACCATCGAAGCCTATATATCTCTTATATATATGTCCCATACTCGGCCTCATTTGTTCAAAATCTCTTCTGTACTGTCCACTTCTTCATTGACTTTTCTCGCTTTTGGCCTTAGCAACCTTAGCAAATAGCGAGATGTGCTTCTACTCTTGTGACGCGAGGCAGAGAACATAACCTTATATGCACTAATTTTAGTGAGAATTATCGGACGAATACATTCATAAATGCCTTTATTAAGAGATTTCCATTTAGATCCCTTTTTAGCTCATTTTTCAGTAGAAATTATGCCTTAAAAAAATATTAATTTGAGAATTTAATCACCTAAAAATTTGCAGTCCCAGTCAGAGATTCAAAACTTTGCCAGCAGCGAGAAAATTCGTTATATCTTTGGTATCAAAATTTGAGATTCACATTATTCACACAAAATTCACATCACCATGGATTCAATTTTTATTTCATTTTCTTGAATCATTTTTTATTTCGCATTTGATTTGTCAAAATTTGCATTTTAATTTTAATTTTTTCAGGCACATAAGTATAATTTATATGAAAGAAACTAAACGATTAGCCAGTTTCGAGCTTCCAGAATAAATATTTTCGGTTGTTCAAATATAATATTTGGTCAGGTCGAAAAAGTTTCTTGGTTATTTCGTTCTTATTGTTCACTTCTGTGCATTTTTAGAATTTTTAAATCACTTTCAGAATCTAGCTTTTTATTTCATTCGGCTACCTTCGACCTCAATCTTCATCGGATCACACATTTCATTTGACCTTATTTGCTTTATTCTCGATTAGTAGAAATGGTTGACAACGTGGAAATAAAGGAAACTGACATGGAAGAGAAAATGGTGAAAGCTTGTGTCGAAATAACAAACGATGCCCAAAGTCGCTATAATTTTGATAAGGTGATAGTAATTCAGAGGCGTATTTTATGAATGCACAATGCCATTATTCTTACCATTTCAATTACAATTATTTTTGACCCAAAAATTTGCAAGAAAAAAGGAAAAAATCAAAATATATAAAGAAAAATATACTTTTTTTAATTTTTTTAATATTCTTTTATAGTCTTGGGCCAGGGTTTTTCTATCATAATTAAAAAGGTAAAAGCATTCATCATTTCTGGTTAGATTCTTTGCGTTGGTTGTTATAATTTTGTTATAATTTTGCCAGGAAGTCACTTGGAAGATAGAAATATGCTTACTTAGCACTGCCAGTAGGATTTTTTGGTGAGAGGCTTTATACTTCAGGGGATCGGAGATCAAACCATGATGCTGGATATGATAATATAGTGAAGAAAAATTATAATAGATAATCGTAAAAATCTTTCTTCTTATTCCTTCTTCTCTCTCTTTTTTATTTTTTCTTCCTATAGTTGGTTCCGACTCTACTGGTCATTATGATGTGAGACTCACCGGTGGCTTACTTAGAGGGGGAAGTGCAAATGGATCTTCAGAACCAACTGGGTTTCACTTTCAATGATGCTTTGTCAAGTAAAAAGAATCATATCTATATTGTGGCACTCTCGATCTTATTTCAAACTATAATCTTCGACCATTCTAATTCATTCTTTTCCAAAATCGTTTTTCTCACTCTAATATTTATCCTTGATGAATTTATTTCTCTCGGTGATAGGTGATAGAGTGATTTCCTTTGTTACCCATTATTAAAATATCAACAATCTTCTTTTATCTTATCGTAGATCTTTAAAATTTTCTAAAAATTTTTTCCATGTAGAAATATGGCAATTGTAGGATTTCAGGATGTAGCAGCCTATATAAAGGAAGAATTTGACAGACGTTTTGGAACAACTTGGCACTGCGTGGTAGGTAAAAGTTTTGGCTCACGTGTCTCTTATGAAATGCAACATTTCATGCTACTAAATACTCGACACGTATCTATTATGATTTTTAAATGTGGCTATTGAAGTAACGATTTCAGCAGCGCAAACGGTTCTTAATAAATATTTTCGGTATTTCTTTCGCTTGTAATATCCTATGGACGTCATATTTTTTTAACGGTTGATTAGGATTAGATTCAGAGATAAAAAGAAAAAATTTAGAGCTTTACCGCTTAATTTTAAGATTTGTTTGCAGCTAAATAAAATATAAATGAAAAACTATAAATATTTCACCAAGCGAAAATTACTATTGTAAAATAGATTAAATAAATGAGAATAATGGTTTTGATTGTTATAAACCACAAATTTTAAAATAAAATTTTCGATCTGCGTCAGAATGATATTTGTGATGAATTGCAATAATTTCTCGTTTTATTTTTGAAAATGATTTCTCATTTTGAAATATTAGTAAAATGTTCAATATTGCTGAAGAATAACGAAAAGGAAAATGGAAATAAGAACTCGATATGCGTCACGTCTTTCCTCAAATTTCCTCAAGTTCATTTATTATCAGTGCTGAAACAATTTCTAAACGCCACTAGCACTAATTTTTCTGCAAGTAATACACATGTAATATATAGAGCGAGCTTCTTGAAAAAAGTAAGGTTTTATTCGGTTTGTCCTGTTTGTCCCATTAACGTTATCTTTTTGACTCTTGCTTTTTCAATAAGCATATAAAATATGAAGTAACTTTTTATAGTTCTAATACTTTTATAGAACTTGTAAATCCTTACAATAACATAAAAGCATTACAATATTTTTAAAAAAAATCATTTGTATTTTTGTAAACAAATAAAATAGTTTTTAAGTCATTTTATGCAGCGATAACGGTTTTTGGGTTTTTAATGGCAATAGATTTTTTTTTTAACAGTCTTCACCGTTACTGGTTGAACTCACTCCGCTGGCTTATTGCTTTGGGCAAATATGCCAGGTAGCCCCTTGGCGATGGAAGTACAAGTGGGTCACCAGCATCACTCGGATTTTTGGACAGACTTACTCCTTCGAGAAATCGAAGCTCAGCATTGGAGCTCCAAATTTAGCTACAGCCCACTGAGCCATTCCCTTCTGTGGCAATAGATTATAAATATTAGAAGTATTTCCGCGAAAAGACTAATGGATTTGGCAAAAAGTATTAGAATATATTTACCCACCAATCAGAATATGTTTTTGTCACAAATTATTAATTATCTAAAATTAATGTCCATTATCTTTTTTTGTGTTTTTCAAGTTTTAAGTTTATATTCAAATCTTGATTGCTCAAAATTTTTATCATTCAATTTGCGTGTAATTCAATTCAAATTACAACAATTTTTAATAGTTGAATATATCTTTCAAAAATATCCAATAATAAATGCTTAAATTTCTTAATTAGTATCAAATCTGTTAAATATATTGCAGATCGATGCTCTCTCTATAGAAAGATTATTAATCTGCAATTATAAAAAGAGCATAGGATTTCTTTGATTTAATTCAAATATGGAAAAACTGCGAAGCTCTTTTTGTTTCATTTTTTCCACATCAAACATCTGTTTAAGGAATTTGCACAGTTTTGTGCCTCAAAATTTGATTTTGATTTTACATTTGATTTTTATTTACTGTGAGAAAGTCTAATATAAAGTCTAAGCGAATAATAGATTATTTGAAGCCATTGGCTTTCTTAAAATACAATTAATATATTATACAATAATTTAATATAAATAAACAGATCTGTAGCGATTTTCATTGATTATTTAATTTAATTTCGCCCATAATTTCGCAAGCCTTCAAGAAAATCTGTCTCCAAGTCATTTTTCCATTAATTTTATTTGCACAAATAATTCCAATAAATTATTTTACCAATATTTGCAACTATTTAAAAATGGATTTATTTCAATTTATATCAGTAAGTTTTCAGGGCTTCAATTACTGGTAAATTTCTATTCACTTTTAGAAACTTAATGCCTTTCGAAAATCCCCTCCTCTGGAATTTTTTTCTTAAATTTTCACTACAGTAAAATGAATAAATGTATGAACAGATGCACCACGAATAAATAAATAAAAAGGACGCACTTTCTTTAAGACTAATATAAATTTATTGCGATATAACGAATTTACCATCAATGAAAAGGAATTTTCTTTATGCAAGGTTTTCCGACTGTTGTCCATAAAATTTAAGGAATTCAAAATTTCTGATCAGAATAGAATCAATCTAAATTGCATCGAAGAAAGTATAGAATATAGGAAAGTATAGAATATATTTTGCAAAATCTAAAGTTTAAATTGGCTTCTCTCACCATACTGAAATTCTTATAGGTCAAAATATAAAATATACATATTTCCTTTTCAGAAATAAATAGAACATGCGGAAATGGCTATAATAACCAATTTTTCCGAAGAAATTAAGAAATCAAATCGGAACCTTCGACAACAATGATCTATTGATACGCAAAGCAATAAAAATTTCTTATATATTTCTCCTTAATTCATTTTACCTACCTGTCTTTCGCATTTTCTTCGAATTAGGGTTGCATTGCTCACCCTGTTCTGCGTTCCATATTGGGCTAATAGTCGCTGATGCCAAAATTCGTCTTCGAGCATTAGTAAACCTGTAAAATTTTAGTTTATTAAGCTTGGTCGGAACTTATTACAAAATTTCATCGTGATAATAAATAAAATATATCAAAAAAAATTTGATTTTGTATATACCTTAATGATATGATATGACTATGATTTAGTGACAAGTTTTCGATATCTAATCAATATTAATGAACGCTAAGAATCGTATATTTGATAATAAACTTTATCTTTCATTATATTAGCACTAACCAGTTATTTACTTGACCTAACTGTAAACCAGTCTCCTTTGCTAGCAATTCTTTTTCATTTTCAGAAGGATACGGATGCTACAAATTCAAATTGATTAATATTTCTTAAAAATCTGAATCCGGAAAAAAATGACAAAATTAAAAATTGTAACCATTATGGTTGTTCTGGCTTCTATACCATAAGGCTTTTTATTAGGCATTACCAAGATTTATTCACCAAGGCATGAAGAAAGAGCCATGTTTTAAGCTTTTCGATCGCTTTTGGCGGTAAATGCGTCTTTTTTTTATAATCTGTTTGATCATCATCGGTAATAACGTGATTCATTGATGGCTTGTCTTCGTTCATCTATATTTAGGAAACATTTAGAAGGATTGGATGTTTTTATAAAAATATTTATATATATATATATGTATATTCATGATTAATTGATTAATTAACTGGCCTATATTATTTTCTGGACTATACAACTATAAAAGACCTGAAGAGCGATATTTCTATCTCTCATAAAATTCGACTCCTCTCCACTGTGAGAAACCTTTTGAATCATTGAATTTTGCATAGTTTCAGAGTGCCACAACGGAATGGATACCTAAAAATTATAATAATTGGCTTAAAGATAATTAATTTGTATTTTTATGGGATTTTCGTAAAGATAGAAGAAACCTATCTTTTTGAGTTCGAATTTCTTGTGGGTACTAATAGTTTCGGGATAAAAAGCAATATTGCGAGGTGCATACGCTTAGTGAATTTATTCTCGCATATCCAACTATTTTTAAATGTTTAAAATAATAATAGAAATAAATAAAATAAGCCACTGCAAAGCAATAAAAATCTAATGGACCGAAAAGATGCAATTAAAAAATCAAGCAGTAACAAATTTTTGATGATAAAATAATATTACTCAGCTTCGGATTAAAATTGCCTTATTTTAAGAAAAAAATCTAATCCACTGCAGAATAAAGCTTAAAAGCTTAATTAAGCTTATGAGTCAATGGCGCCAGAAGTATTTTTGCCTTTAACAGTGAAATGTGGCTGAATCATGGATTCTTTTTTTATATTTTCACCCTTAAATAAAGAAAAAATTGCCAGTAGAGCTAGTTAAACCAAAAGTTAGGACGTCGGAGAAGAATGTCAAAAGTTTTGCTCCGATAATTTTAGAATTTTCCAACTCACAAGGAAAAAATTAATGTGCAAAATAACGAAATACACATCAATGAAATTTATATATAAGATTATATAATTTATGTTTATATTTATTGTATTTATATTTATTAGATTATTTATATTTATATAAAAATATTAGTGAAGAGTTATAAATAACAATTAACAAAGCATCTGGTAAAAAAAGCTATGAAAGCTATGAAATTAGCAACATACCATTCCATCTGGTGTCGTTAACATTGCTATTGTGGGCAGTTGGAAACAAGAATGATTCGGCTATGAAAAAATTAGAGCAAATAATAGAGAAATCTTTTTTGACGCAAAAAGATAGCGCAATACTCAGATTTGTCCGATAAAACTATATCTTTTATTGATAAAGCCTTTATGCAAGAAAGTGAAGTTAAATCACACATTTATAGTAAGGCAGAGTAGGCGAGTGGTTGCTCAGTATTCTCACCTCGGATGTCGAATTTTGCTAGTGGGAGTAAACCTCTCATTAAAAAATCTGAATGGTACCTGATGATCTATCTCTGGCAATGATTATATCAGCAGCCAGAGGAACAAGCCTAACCAGATATGTGAATACTAACCATTTATATACAATAAAAGAACTAAAGAATTTGGCTTACTTTATCTTGAAAATCTATTGAGGATACCATCATATCAATATCATCATCACTGTCACCAGTTATGCCAATTACTGAATCATGATTCATTTTTTTCTTCAATATGTCTGTAAAAATTAATCTGTAAAAGAACAAAATTCTATAATAAATCATATTCATGCATCCAATATTGATAAAATTGAAAATATCTTCGAAAAAAGTTTTCTGCAGAGTTTTCATTATTTTTCTTTAAAGTTTTTCAAAAGTTTAAAAAAACGAATTCGGATTTGAATTCAATATTTGACACTTGTCGAATGTTTATATTTATTAGGATCATTTTGTCAAAAAATTATTCGTAAATAAATAAATAATAAAAAATAATATTAAATAATAAAAAATTATTATTTGTTATTATTTTCTTTAATTTTAAAAATCATGAATTAAGCGAAATTTAGCTAATGTGCGAATGTATATGCTATATGTCGATATATATGTAAGTAAACGGGGGCGATGAAATGCTACATAATGCTACATGATTCTTAATTTTTTGAACTTACATTGATATTTCAATTTAAAATCGTTAGAAAGTTCAGCCACTTTAGCCAGTTCCATAAGATGTATTCGCAGCATAATAACAGTATTAAATAAAAATTTATCGAGTTCACTGTCACCGAAATTTGTCGGACCGAAAGCAGTTAGTTTAGAAAGAAGCTAAAAACGGTGGAAGTTATGGTTGCAAAAAATTATCTCATTATAAGCAAAAGTATCCATCCTTTTATTTTAACTGTTTTTCCCAAAAAGTTTGTAGATTTTTTTTAGAAGTTGAGTAAGTAATTTAATATTTAAAGGACATTCAATATTTATTTAAGAAATAAATGATGCTAATGATTATAACCACATAGAACTACCTGTATTACATCATCAATTTCAAAATTTTTTGAAGATATTCGAAACATTGCCATTTCACATTTTTTCAATAACAACTGAAAAAGGTCGATCTTAAATATAATCATTCTAACAGGAATTGTTATTTCGACCAGGGCTTTAATAGTGCTTCCTAACGAAAGTAAACATGTCATTAAAAGTGAAATGGTGTTGAGAGACGTGAGAGGTGTCTTCTAACCAAAAGTAATCCTTTGGCAAAGAGATTCACTTTAGTGGTCAGTAAAATCAGCCAAACCACAAAATGAACTGAATGACTATTCAAAATCTTAAAGTAATAATAAATAAATAAATTTTTGGATAGCAAATTAATTTTTTATTTGATTAGAAGAAAAAAAGAATTGCACCTCAATAATTGGATATAATATATGATCTTTAATGGATTTTACTAAGTCATCATGATCGGTAGTGCTTTTATTTTTACTTGATAACGTCTCTACCAGAATCGTTTGTCGTCTGCAAAAGCTAATTTGATTTTTAATTAATTGATTAATAAATTTTTTTTTAATTTTTATCAATTTCAACCAAATTTTAATTTTAAATTTAAATTTGCAAAAAAGGTTTCACTTTGTATTGAAAATTTTTTTCAATGTTTGTGTGATAAAGTTTTTTTTTTTAAATTGATCATTCTGATTTTGTTCCATTTTTACTTCTTTTAATTATAGAGCTATTTTCGAGAAAAATCTCTATTTCTATTGACATAGCCGTAAGCATAGATGAAATTAAAAAAATAAAGCAGTACCAAAATCTAATTTTTTAAAAATAGAGTTTTTGAATTTGCAAAATTTGCAAACAGCAAAATTTTATTTGTTTGAAATGAATCTAGAGATGTAAGCATAAATGTAAATTTTGTGATAATCAGATTATCACAAAACTTTGATCCAAAAAGATTGGTATACTAACCCCAGTGAAATATCATCGTTGGTCGGCAGTTCAGGATTCCCACAACCTCCAGTTATTTCTTTCGCATACATGCCATTCTCAAAAATATTGTTTAAAAAAAATTTCAAAGAATAATGAGACCAGCAAGACTGCTAGCTAACGAATAATTCTAAATAGACAAAGATAATCAACATCGATAGCCAAAAATTAAATAACTTATCATCAACTGATGAGATGAAACACATAGGTGTACAAATATGTACACCAATATGCTGAAAAATTAGCGGTTCTATAGGCAAACATTATCGCTGAATGTACGACTAGTGAATAAACCAAATATTATTATTATCAATAAATTTTGAATTAAATAAGACTTTTAAAAGTTCATTTTAAAACGGCCTGCTACAAAAGCAATAAAGTATAAAAAATATAATATAAAAAATATCTATTAAATAAAAAATAAAGGAAAAAGTATTATTTCTACTGAGGTTTGAAATTATTTCATGCTGCTTAAACTCTCTTCGAAACTCCGTTATCTTACCTTAACCTCCTATTACTCTGAGAAAAATTTTGCAATTTATTATAAAGATTTCTAAGAACAAAATTGTTTGAAGATAAAACGATTCTATCATAATTTTCAATTTCATCTGATTCTTATAAAAACAAGTTTCGGAATTCATAAAATTTTAGTTATAAGTCATAATTTAAATACTGAAAAATCATCAAAGAAATTCTCTGAGCAAGAGAATCATACGGTGATCATCGATGCAAATCAAAATTTTTGTGGCATTCCAGCCAATTGTTTCTTATTATGCATTATAGGGCAATAGGAAAATATAAGTAAATAAATGTGAATAATAAAAATGATGGATCATCAAAGAAATTAATGAACAGGTGAAGTGAAATGAAGTGAACAATATTTATAAAAATGCCTCCGGCCACACCACTTTCTTCTAACCAGCGGGTTGTTGATGGATTTGGAGCACTAATGCTGGGGTTCTATTCCCCGCCTGAGTAAACCTGTCCGAAAATCGAGGTGATGCCGGCGACTCATGTATTTCTGTCGCCAGTGGATTTCCTGGCACATCTAATCTAGTTCGACAAGACAGCGGAGCCAACCAGTAATGGTGAGGGCTCTTAAAAGAAAAAAGTTGTTGTTTGACGATAGGAATTTCGCTATTCTTTATCTGTTCAAGAAATCTGATCAATCCATCCATATAAATTAATTTACTGTTTCTACTTTGACTAGTTTCACTGGCTATGAAAAGTCTTCGCAAGAGAATCGTGGGGTAAAAATGGAGCAGGCTGTCCCAGATGTAATTTAGTAACACCACTTTTTAACCAATTAGTTGCTAATGCCAAAGAAATATTCTTTAACAAAGAAAAAGGGTATACAAATAAGGAAATGCTACGAACTGTCGTCAATATTCAAATTTGAAAAATTAGTCGTTTTTTCTAAGAATGTGCGCCACTTTGATTAAGTTATCATAACCAATATGAATGGAAAGATGTCACTGATTTTAAGATTTTTTAAATTATATTTGGCTGTCATAATTGAATGGTTATCAATAATCGCTTAACAAGCTTTATGATAAATTCATCGACTTTGTCCCTTTATTGATTTGTTTATTTTTGGATCACATTTTTGGACTGTCGCGAAATGACAAATTCTTATGATCGAAGAATTTAAATTTATGACCAATAATGCCAATCAAAATTTATTGCATATGAAGTGCATTTTAAATGGTTATGTGAAGTGAAAATTAATTTAAACTAAAAATAATAAATAAAAAAGATTATATAAAAGATTATTGTTGAAGAAATACTGCAAAATCAAAGCTGAAGCTTTCAAATGCATCTAACGACTTAAGTACCCAGATCCCAGTTCTAATCAAGGATTTATTCCAGTCAGCGAAAATCGAATTCATGCTGCTTCATCCTCTTCTGCCGACTCGTTTATTTTTATATTTCTAGAATAAGATAAAATTGAACCATCGAAAAATCTTTTCCACAAAACCTTCAAAACTTCGAAATCATTCGGTCAAATTTTACAGATTTTTAAATCTCTTTTATAATTTCTTTTAAACATTTCTTCATTATAGAAAACAACCAGGTCTACGAAGGATATATGCTGCAATTAATGCAGAAAGGAGATTTTATGTTTTGTTTATTTTTTATTAAAATTATACTATCTAGCTGTGATCGTGTTTTCAACGTGGTATGGCCGTAAGGGGATAGAATGGCTCAGTGGGTTATTGCTCGATTGGGAGCGCCGATGCTGAGGTTTTCGATTCTCTGCAGAAGTAAACCTGTATAAAAATCCGGGTGATGTTGGCGACTTACCTGTATTTCTATCGCCAAGGGACTTCATGGTATATTGCCCAATGCGACAAATCAGTGGGAGTTTAACAAATAATGATGAGGAATCTTTAAAAAAATCTGTGGTACAATTTGTTTCGAATAAAATTGTCCACTTTCAAATTACCTAAAATTCAAATTTTTATAATAAAATATTTATCTTATAAAAAATTCAATTTTTTACACGAAAATTTTTTTCTGCCTCCTCTTTTCCTTTTAAAAATCAGCAAAATTTTTGAAAAAAATTTTTCCCTATTCATTCTTCGGTGGATTCTGGAGCAAGGAAAAGTTATAGATATTATTGATTTTCAGATATTATTTATTATTATGATTTATTATGATGAAAAATATGAAAAAAGTTGGAATAGAAATATTGAAATAAAAAATATTACTGCAAAAAATTAGGAAAATGAAATGAAAAAATATCATTTAAGCGATGTCTCGATATCAATAATGGACAATATGGATAATATGAAGCGAACAAAACTTCGATGAGTCTCAACGCGTGGATTATCTAATCCTTAAGCAGAAATTTTCGAAATCGACAATTCAAATGATATTTATTTGTGCAATAAAGCCAGTTTTCTCAATCGAAATTTTTAGCTGTTTATTCCAGAAAAAAATAGATCACCGGACGATAGAAAGCGTTATTAGTCGTAAAGCCTAAATTATATTATGTTGTTTAGAGATGAGTGGAAATTTAGAAATTAAATATTTCTAAATTTAAAAATAGGTTAAATGAAGATTTTATGATTTTATTTATTTCAATAATTTTTTGACAATAAAGAATCAGCAAGCGTGTAACATTATCATTTTAAAGCTTATTTTATGGTCTTTCTTTTCATTTAATCTATTTTTAACAATATTTTTGTTTATTTTTCACCCTTTGAAGACAAGATGTCAATTTCGTCAAAGGCCGAAAATATTAATGATGTTTTTGGAGAAAGGAAATATTAACGAAGTTTTCCACCATGAAGATAAGATAACGGCTCTTTTGCCTTTGATAACGATGTGAATTGAAAGCATTGCTGCAAGTGAATCCACGCATAACTATTCGACAACTTATAGGAAAGTGCCTAATTGAAAATTGAAGGTACTCAAGGTAATTAGCACCAAGAATCGAGGCTTAAGTTTGAATTCGGCTATGGCACCACTGTGTTTCCGAGCAGGAATGTCGCCTAATGGAGAAAGCAAAGAAGATAGAATGGTTCAGTGGGTTGTTGCTCAGTTCGAAGCGCCGATGCTGAGATTCTACTCCTGAGAGGAGTGAACCTGTCCTTTAAAAATCCGGATATTGGCAACTCACTTATATTTCTATCGTCAGGACCTGGCATATTTATTTGATCCGACGAAGCGAATCTAACCAGCAATGCTCTAAAAAAAAATCCAAAATCGAAAAAACTCGACGAATGGAAGCCATACATTAAAGATTGAATGATTTGGCTTTGATTTTACTTCCTTTCTAACCGCTTTTTCACTTTTCACTTGAAAAAAATACATAAAATTGTTGAAAGCTTTCCTGAATTAATAACAATTCCAGGAAAATTTCGACAGCAATCTCGAGAAATCTTGGAAGCAAGTGAAAGAAAATAAAATTATAATTAGAGAATTGTCAGAGAATTTACAGCAAATATAATTTTTTTAGTAAATAAATAATGAGTTCGCTCTGCTGGCTATTAATGCTGTTAGAAATTTTTGCTAGGAGTCACTTGACGATAGATATGCATCACTAGGAAAATCGTCAGCGTGCATCGTCAGATAAATCGTTGGTACACCTAGATCTTTTAATGACAGGTTTACTCTTACGAGAAATAACCTTTGGATAAAACAACTAATCTTGCTATCCTACTTCGAACAATTTATAAAAAGTTAATTAATTTATAAAAATCTGGCTTAAGTGAAAGAAATCATTTTTTCCATTGAAATTACGATTTTGTAATCGGACAACGAAAAGTACAAACGTTATTCCAGTTGAAATTATCCATCACTGAAAAACCTAAACTGAACAATTATTCTGGTAACTAAAAACCATGAGATATGATATTATTACATTTATCATTTGATTAACATTTAATAAATGATGAATGTCGTTTTGTATAATAATATTATATATATTTAATTATTATATATATATAATTATATATAATAATTAAAATATTGTGCAAAAAAGAAGCAAAAATAGGCAAAATTAATACTGGCATCGCAAACAAGAAAATTATCGGTGAAATATTTTTAATGAGCAAATTAAAATTGAAATATTTACTTTTGAGAAGAGTGAGCAGAGGAAAAATACCGAAGAGAGAGAAGATGGAGTGCAGTAATAATAATTTTTAACGAAAGATAAGGACGTAGCGATGGTGTATTATTGGACCATAAAACCTTTCGGACGACGCTCCATCTACTTTTATTAATACACATGTAAATACGAGGCGCACTAGCTTAAAATGCAAAATTTTTAAGCATTTAAATAACTGAAGTGGCCGATAATTTTTTTTGCCAACCAACTTAAATTTTTACATTTAATTTACTTGCAGTAATATAGAAAGTTCAAGAATTATAAAGCAGGCCTAAATCAATTTCTAAGAAATATATTTCTTAATTTCATAAATCCGTACGACGAAGAGGACGCACCTATACTCCTGTTAATAAGTGTCTGACTCCCTGGCGGAAATTTTTCATCGACCAACTGCCAGTGGAACAAGGCTAACCAGAAACGAACGATAAGAGTTTAAGA